AAAGGCATTTGGCAAGCCGCCTCTGAAACAGGAGGTGTATGTCACACATCTGCGATTTTTAGAAGTTCCGAATGCAGCCCTCCTTGGCCCAAATAATTACGAACTCCACCATGACGGCCGTATCGCTGTGTAGACCGCTTAAAGACGCACTACATATACAGCTCTCAATTACGCGTCGGAGCTTAGGTTACTTCGCTGATCTGCTAACACCTATAAGCTGTATTTTGGCGGTACAACACACGCCTTTCGTCCTCAAGGTGGAAGACCTGATCACATGTTTCCTTAAATAACTGCCTGTTCTACAACTTTTAACCCTTGCCCGACAGAGACACATGCCCCTCCCCGCCCGATGACGGTGGTGCCTAACAGACCGCCCCCCCCCCCTTTACTAATTTTTGAACTAAGAAAGCAGACAATCGGGATAAAAGTCAGTGTGTTTCGCGCTGTCTAAGCTATCTAAATGTGGCCGTTTTTTATAGATAGCCCACGTTAAGCCAATGACTATGGATTGTTCATGTCTGAAATGACAGGAAATGCCCCCGCCAGTAAGTAAATTCCAAACCATTTAACTATTTAAGAAAAAGTAATGAGGTAAACACAGACTTCCTCCTGGCTGTCTTCCGGTGCTGAACATGTTCCGATGCTTGGATCTGGGCAAAATGAGTGCTCTGTCAGGTAACGGAACCCTCAACATTGCCGCCACGTCCAATGGAGTGCCTAATATACGGTCCCACTACAACCAGCTGTCATTCTGAATGAGGTGGGTGACTGCGAAACGACCGACGCAGTGATCATCATCTAAGCTGCCTCACTGTGCTTGTTTTCTTTTCGTAGTTACTTTGTGATCACTGAGGTCAAGCAAGGTCGTGGGGGTCATGCATCTTTTGCGACACCACACAATTCATATAGTTATGCCACCACCATCTGATATTATTCATTTGAATTGTTCCGCACCATTTCAGTTGGGTTTAACTTGGATTGCATGCACCTGCAATTTCGCAGGGTAGTGTCCAACTTGCTTATGAGACAACACATCTATAAATATCATGTCATGATCACCCACGTTACAACAACACCATAGACGACATTCGGCGTAATGTGGCGCGATTCTCCAATTGACTTATGTTTGAAACCATGTGAGAGATGCGTACTAGGTGAAACAATGTCACAGCGCGTTACAACGTACTGCAATAAGCGCGATGAGACAGATACTACGCTGTGAAGAGCAAGGCTGGCCACGTAACTTATGTGCACTGGGCACATATTACAACAGCCATCACGTTTCACAAAGGATGGCAGGGCAGCTTATATGCCGCACGCAGCCCAGAATACCTACGCCAAGCTGATGACATCGCCTAAACTATGTGAATAAGTAATAGCTCCTGCTCACGTGTCTGATACCCATGATTGCGGCAAAGCTCCTCCACTTCTCGTTTAGATGGTTCAAATGTGACGGAAATAAACAGGACAAAATTGATATCTAAACCAAGGTCTTAGCTCTCATTTGCACGGCACGCGGCCTTCGCTCCAGGCCTGGTGCCGCGCGTAACATTGGATATCTTCCTATGTAGCATGTTTGGCCAGACCGCAGTGATTTCACACCATGAGATACGCTTCTAAATGAATTGCCTTGTGGGAGCCGTCACAAATCGTAAAGGAGCACTTTTATAATTAGGCCTTGACCTGCGGAGCTTAGTACACACTTAGGTTTGTTGCGTGGTCTAAGACCGCACGCTACGGCGCTATCGATTTCAGTTTGGTTTTCTAATTCGGCTTGGCCGTTCTTCAGATGAGCAGGGGGTCAAATTTGTCGCCTCCGGCCAATGGTGTGCCGCTGTCGAGGCCGTCAATGCCGGGTAAAGAACATGCCGATTAACAGGTGGTCCATGAGTTCCCACTTCGTGACATATTTGCATGACAGATAGCTACCCCTCATGATAAGTTCTCTAAATCAAGTTTACGTGATAACTGACATAGCTGGCAAAAGCAGCATCAATTTGTATCACGAGCACTGACATTTTCAGATTGTGATGTGGCATTGCACTCCTGCTCTGTGGTAATGGAAAAGGCAAATTTGGTGGCGCCAAAAAAACGTACATCGTTACAAAATAAATAAATCTGATTTCAAACTAGGCATTAAGAGAGTAATGTACAGTGCATGAATCGTTTTGGATGACCAACCAATCATTACAAAATAAATAGCATTGAGTTCCAAACTAGGCATAAAAAAGAAAGCGGTGCAGTATGACTTGGGCGCACTCGTTGCATTTGTATGCGAAACTTTAGGTATAGACCACCACGCATTGACTTCAGGCACATAGAATTGTGCTCCATGTCTATCAAATTAATTTGGCTGGACAGGGAAGCACTTGTGACAACAATATACGTGATAGCCGTCATATGGCATCATAAAATAAAATGAGGAGCGTTGTGGCTCTATGAACTGGGGTTTACGCCGGTACCTATGACGTTAAGAATCCGCAAGAAAGTGGCCGCACTTAGCTTAAGTTGGGTGAGAGGCCCACCCGCCTCTCAGTTTACATACGGAATTGAAAACGTTGCCAGATTGGCACCAAAGCTGGCCAGCTGTAGGACTTTTTTAAAATTGCCGTGCATCAGCGGTGCTGGTAACGTGGCGCTCTTCAGTTAAGCTGTGCATCGTATCTCATCGCACTTAAGTACCTATAAAAAACGTACCCGCTTTCTGGGAAATCCGTGACATTTTTTTGTTCTCAGCTACAACTTAAGCAATACTACGGCACACCACAACAATACCAACAGCAACAAAGTAATTCCCGGTGTCACCCTAAACGTGGTACTTTTGCGGCTTAATTCTCGTGCACACGCAGCTTCCAGCAACCTCCTGGGAGCAGAAGCTAAACATAACAAATCAGCGAAGAGCTTTCAAAGATCAAGATCGATCAAAATGGCCATGTGGAAGCGAGGCCGTTCATCCCGGGACGGCTAGATTACCATCTCGAATATGGTGGCTTGGCATAGTTTCGTTCCGAGCTACCATATTATCCATGCACAGAAATTTAGTGCAACATGTTTAAGTTAATGCAGTCAGCTGCATACCTTAGTTGTAAAGTAAAAAACACAAACACAATTTTAGCACAAATTTGGGTGGTTTCTCACACTTGCACACAAGAATAACCGAGATTGCCATCACTGGCACACTTTTGTTCTAATCTGGCAACAATTTATATTCCAATGTAAACTGAGCAATAATGGCGATCCCGGCTACACATTTGCGCAGGTGTTAGAAAGGATCCAATTTGCGCTTAAACTGCGTTTGTACTTTTTAATTTACAATCAGGCTACGCAGCTCACTGAAAAACTTAAACATATTGTACTAGATTTCTATGTATGGAGAATATGCTAGCTTGGGACGAATCTGAGTCAAGCTGCTATATTCGATATGGTACCCTAGCCGTCCAGGGATGAACGGCCTCGCAGTCATATGGCCATCATTATCGATCTTGATCTTTGAAAGCTCTCCGCTGATTCGTCGGGTCTCGTTTCTGCTCTCAGGAAGCTGGAATCTGCTGGAAGCTGCGTGTGTACGATGATGAAACCGCGAGAGCGCTACGTTTAGGGTGACACCAGCTAATACGTTGTTGCTGATGGTATTATTGTGGTGTGCCGTATTATTGTTTAAGTTGTAGCTGAGAGCATAAAAATGACACGGATTTCCCAGAAAGCGGGCAAGTTTTTATTCTAGGTACTTCAGTGCGATGAGAAACGATGCACAGCTTGATTCAAGAGGGCCACATTACCGGCACTACGAATACACAAAAATTAAAAACCCCGCAGCTGGCCCGCTTTAATGCCTATCTGGCAACATTTTTAAATTCCCTATGTAAACAGAGCTACCGTGAGTCAGGATGCAGCCCGGCGGATCCCCCCTCCCCCCCTCCATAAACACACACGGTCAGAGCAGTTTGTGTCTGCATCCGTCAGCGACCCCTGCGCACGTGCTCAGCTCATTGGGACCGTCCTGCTGCAGGTGCCGGCGTCCGGTGACGTCACCATCGACCGTCCGCTGCTGCTGGACGTCAGCACGGCCGCGCTCGGCACCGTGACTATCGTGGACGGCGGCCGGCTGGTCTTCGACCCCAGTGCCGACGAACTGCTGCTCAGCGCCAGCCTCATCGAGCTGGATGGTGGCGAGCTCTGGATCGGCTCCGAGGAGTGCCCGTTCGAAAGCCGCGCCGAGGTACTGCTCACTGGTCAGCGCGACGAGGCAGAGAGCGCCGCCGACGTGCAAAAGGCCGTGCTCGTGCGACGAGGGGCCCTAGAGGTGCACGGTAAGCCCAAGCGCTCGTGGACCAAGCTGGCAGCAACAGTGCCCAAATCGACGCGCGAAGACCTGTTGGGTAACCCCATCTACAGCGTACAGGACGAGGAGGGCTTCCGTGGCAATGGCTTCCACATGTACGAATTTGACAGCGACGGTAACCCCGTACAGAACTGGGGGCGCGTGACGGGACCGAGAAAATTCAGTCGTGTGCTCGACCACACGGGCAACGTGGTGGTGGTGGCCGTCTCACTGATGACCAGGTTTGGCAGGCACGACCCGGTCGCTACGGCGGAGGTGTTTGAGACGCTCTGCTACGGTGGCGAGCGACAGTCAGCCATTCGTGGCATGGTGGACCGCCAGCGGCTGGCGTTCGTCGCTATCTGCCACGTTGGCTCACCCGAGAACAGCGTAGAGATGGTCGGCACGGTCAACAACGGTCGCTCGCACACAGGACGCGTGGTGCAAACCATCGGCGATGTCGAATTCGCCGCCATGTCGACCGTAGTACTCAGTGGTCCTGGCAGTCCTCCGCCCGAAATAGCGTCCTATGTGGCCGGAACTACACCCTCCATGGACGTGATCCTGACTATGACCGCTGACGTCAGCTCCTGGGAAACCGGCGATAGGATTGTCATCGCCTCCACCGACTTCAACCGAGACCAGGAGGAGGAGTTCGATCTGCTGGACTGTCCCTAGCTGCGACGCCACGCAGGTGAAAGTCATGGGTCCCATCTGGTACACGCACTGGGGTGAAATCACCGACGGCGTTGACATGCGTGGCGAGGTCGGCGACCTCACGCGCAACGTCCAATTCCACGGCCAAATGGAGGATGCCTGCTACGGAAGCAACTTGTGCGACAGCTTCGACTACGATACGTTTGGCGGTCAGATTAAGATGCTCGTTGGCTTCAATAGCGCTAGGATTGAAAACGCCGAGTTCTACCACATGGGGCAGCAATCAGTGATCGGATCATATCCCATCCACTTCCACATGTGCCTGGACACGTCCCAGAAAGACGTGTATATCCGCGGCAATGCCATCCACAACACGTTCTCGCGCTGCCTCACCATCCACGGCACGCACAACGTCACCGCCGAGAACAACGTGGCGTTCGACCACCTGGGTCACTGCTTCTTCCTTGAGGACGGTGGCGAGCAGGACAACAGACTGATAGGCAACCTCGGCATGGGCACCAAAGTGGGCACTCTGCTGCCAACCGACGCCCTCAACAAGGTCAGCACGTTCTGGGTGACTAATCCCGACAACGAAGTCATCAACAACGTCGCGGCCGGCTCCGAAGGCATGGGCATCTGGATCTTGATGCCGGATCTGCCCACAGGTCCTTCTGCCAACGTAGATATGGGTCTTGTGGAAAAGCAGGCATCGCGAACACTTGTCAAGGCCTTCCAAGGTAACGTGGCACACTCTAACAGGCGCTTTGGTTTCCGTCTGGACGATGTGCTCCTCCCTGACGGAACGGTTCAGCCGGTCAGCTACTTCCCGCGCGTGGATCCGACCGACCCGAGGAGCGACATGGCGTTCCTCCACCTTGACGATTTTGTGGCCTACAAGAACACCGAGAGTGTCTGGATCAAGTCTATGCACACGCTGGCTACAAACTTCCGCATTGCCGAGAGTGGTATCGGTCTCATCTTTGCGTCGGCCGGGCCGGCCAACCCCAACGAGCATAACGAGATGCTGTCTGGGGCCCGTATCGTCGGCGACACAGCCAACAAGGGCGAGCCGGCGGGCGCCGTCCGACTACCCTCCGGACAGGTCATCCAGGTGGACCGCTCGTTACCTCGTTCCAGACCCGCGCAGCACGCGCAAATTGGCGTCGCCTTCTACCGCGGACCCGTGCATGTCGTGGACACGTCGTTTGCCGGCTTCCAGACTAACGCGCTGCGGCCGGCCGGCGCCATCGGCAAGAAGCTCAGCAACCCGTACTTTTCTTCGCCCATTGCCAGCGTGCGCAACGCCACGTTTGACTTCGCCGACCCGGCCGGTGGCAGCCGCTTCTACGACGGTGACGGCACCGTAACGGGCTACAAGGAGCGCGACGGCAACCGGCACAACGTCGTGCTCGACTGGGACGGCTCGCTTACCACTTACCCTCGCGCCAGCCTGGTGCGGCCCATCCCACTGTTGATGAACGCGCGCTGTGTGCTCCTGCCCAACTGGGGGCCGGGCGTCGGGCTCTGTCCGGACCGCTTCAACCGCGTGCAGCTCAGCATCGCCGGTAACATCCCCACATTCATGACGCGCAACGACCTGCAGGCCGCCGAGATGGAGACGGCGCTGGCCGAGCGGCAGGTCAGCTACTCACTCAACTCGGCCGAGTCGTACATCATGCACTTTAACACAACCGTGCCGGCCCGTTTCGGGTTCAACATGTTCGGTGTGCAGCAAGGTCTGGCACAGCTCGTCGGCGTCTGCGTGGGTGCCAACCAGGAGCCGGACGTAAAACCACGAATGCAATACACCTTCGTCAACGACATCCAAGAGGTATTAACCGACGAGAGCAACAGCAAGTACTTTTACGACCCGGCCATCGGAGTGGTGGTCTTCAGGTGAGTTGGCTCCATGCCGGTGTGGTAATCTTCAGGTAGGCAGGAGCACTGTGATGCGGGCGTCCCAATATCAGAAGGCCAGCATTACCAGGACGGTCAATAAACCTAAGCAGCGGACGGTGTATGCCTGTGGCCTGTGTTGACCCATGTGCTTAGTGGGTGTCCTGAGTTGGAGCTTTATGGCGCGGTTAGCTGCGGAGACTATGTCCCACCCCGGCAGAATAGGCGGCACTGCCGGGAATCGAACCCTGTACCAACACCATTGGTAACCCTATGTACTTTGTAGGATTCCTGGAACGGTTTTTTTTGTAAACCCCATTGTTCGCAACGTCGGAACCCTGCGGGGAGCGACTGTTTTGTCATGTCTGATGTTTTCATGCATCAAAATTTCAACCATTGGAATGATCGCTGGTTACGATCAGCACATCACCACTGATTCATTCCGGGCGCGCGGACTTCCGGGGGCCGTTACACACCCGGCTCGAGCCAGGCGGATAAACTGTCGCACTTCGCCCGTCATCGAGACTGTGCGCACCACCGAGCGCAGGTAGCCGTGCTAGCGTCGATGGACGACTGACCGTGTATGTACCGCCAACAGGTTTACCAGCCAGACTCCGCGCACCGACACGACCACATCCCACTGTCCGGGCGACCTGGACGAGGACGGCAACGGCATTTGCACTACGCGCGTCGTCATCGAGCTGCCGGCGGAGCACGAGGACGGCGACTGTCGCTCCCGGGCCTACGCTGACAAGGCCTCGGCGGTCTACGCCACCGAGCCCGTGTCGGCCGAGGGCGCGCTCGCTGTGCCCGTCTTCGCTTAGCGTAGCGATCGGTCGGAAGACAGCAGAAGACGGCTGGTAGCCGGTGACGCCGCCCCTCTAGTGTCCAACAACGCAGGGCACAACTATGCGGCAATGGCAGGGAATGCACGACCTGTGTATGCTGAGTGTCGACGAAAGGCTGGGATCAATTTATGGGAAAACGACCTATCAGGTGGAGGCGATTTGGCATCGTGTGATCATCGGGGGAAGTTAAAATACGTCCAAAAATACATTCTTCTTTCAGAGCATCACGTTTCACGGAACTGAGCAAGTGTGAGCCGCAAGGCCAGGGCTTTAAAACGGGACAGAGTAGTGAGCTCCACACAACGGGCTCAGCCATACCAGAAAGCCTTTAATGACGTCACCAGGGCCTTGTCTTACGTCCAGCACTCTGGGCACTGCGTTGATGCTGTGTTGATGAGCTGTGGAACTAGGCGTTAACCTTTGAAGAAATATGAGACATCCGATGCTTGTCAAACAGCCGACAGCATAACTGTGTCCGATGGCAAATAACTTCATAAATATTCTGTCGCCATGGCCAGTACACCCGAGAAATACTTAGCGCTTAAAACCCAATACGCAGAATATTCGCAAAGCTGTGCAAAAGCGCTGTCAACTACATTTGAACTTAAATATTTGATGTGAAATTTTGACAAGGCCAGTAGGTGGCCAGCTGTAATATTCTTCGGTGATAGCTTATCATCCAAGCTCGCTCACAACAGACGTTACAATACTTGTCTGGTTTCTTTACATTTGCTGCTTGTGGCCCGGCCGCAGTTATCTCACTGCGGACAGCTCATTAAGGTGGTCCTAAATACACAAAGTTTGTCCAATGCAATGGGAACTGTGTTTGTGTTTGTGTTTGAGGAATTTCATGATCTTTTCTTTTGTAATGACTGCTGGCATCTATAGCTCAGTCTGTATGATGTTAAATTCGATTTTATGATCAACAAAGTTATAACCCAATTATACCCAGCATTCAAACCAATGGGTTATGTAACAGTCAGCTGACTAAATGAGCAGTTTCGTCTCCACTGATGCCGTCAAATATGGTGTACCTGACGTCATGCAAGCTTTGCTTCCAAACTATCTCCATTCCCACGCAAGCTCTATGCTGCTGCTTTTTCAGACCGAACGTCTCTACCTCGTAAGAAAGCCCTGACTGTGTCGCTAGTAGTTGATGACAATCACTCCTTGTTTAATCCTCTCAATGTTGGTGTTCTGTAAAAAAAAATACTGTGGCCGACAATGTTAAAAAACCTGAAAAATCATGTATGCTCATTGGCAGGCATTTTATATTCATTTCTGTTATTGGGGGGTCAGGAAGTGGGAATAAAAGGCTGTCGCACGTTACGAAAGATCGCTGTACTAACGACCATTACTCAATTTGCATTGTACAAAACAGCTCAGCTTAGAGTGTACGCGCCTGTCAGTATCTGAAGCTAAAACAGAAATGAAAATTTTGAAGGTTACACAGTGGGGGAAAAGGATGACTTTTCAATGACATTTTGCAATATCTTGGATAACGCAAACGTCAGATGCTTGTCATGCATACATACCATGCAATTTGTGTTTAACATGTTGTGCAAGGCCAGATCCAGGTCAACAACATGGATGACGTACAATCAGGGCCACCTTTCTTCGTCAATCCGCGACTTGGGTATCCCATGGTTTACTACCTTTAGTGCGCTCCCGCCCAACATGCATGATGCATATTCAGCGTGACGTATGTAAACGGCTGCATGGGTTGATTATCCATCTTTATTTTAACGATAGAAGTATATCGCACACTCTCACTTTCCTGTGGCCTCACGCAATACAGACGGGCCGCAGAAAAACGAAAACCTGGAATCGTCTATGGTGTTTTTTTTTTTTTTGAAACTCTGACGCCCTACGCGCATGACGCTACGCGCTATTTTAATGCACGCTGTTAGCACAAGCAAGAATTGCACCAGTACGCTGCTCATTCTTCGCCTGAGTGTGTCCGCCTACCAAGTTTTCGCGATTTGTCTGACTGCCTGAAAACCTGCGATCTTTATGTTGCCTCAAAGTGCACCGGAAGTGTGTCGCACAACCTTGCCTTTAACACCCTCCGACATAGTAGACTGATTGCATAAAAACAAAGACCTGGAACCATCTCTGCGCGACTGATTTCTCAAAAATTTTGGCAGTACGTGTTGCGCATGGAATATATGTTTAAAGCTTTGGATTGAGTCCACTGGAGAGTCAGTGCCTTGTTAAGTGCATGGATAGCTGCGGCGTGCTGTTGTGATATATTTCCATATTTCTTTGTTCTGGCAATTCTTCTTTATGCCGTCATGTTCTTTGCAAACTTTGGCTTTAGCATGGAGCGCGTGGAAGGCCAATTCACTGAAGTATTACTTTCACTACGGCAATGCTTTAGTGCACAGCCCTATATGCGAAGAAAAAAAATGCAAAGCCACAAAACGCGCACGTGTCGATTTCTCGTTTGCGATTTCAGGAGTCAAAAACGTGATTTGTAATCAGGATTTACTGTTCGTTCTGGCGAACTTTTTAACTGCGGGCCCAACCAACACCTGTCAATAAAGCGTATAAGATACGTCATACATCCATGAAAACGTTCGAGGGTTTGATCATCAGTCGGTTCTCAAGGGCGTTGGACACACATGGCCACAGGTAACAGTATGCTGTTATGACTAATATAGCATCCTCTTCTCTCTGGACCATCTAAACCTCGAGCTGTTTCCTCCTGTCACCACATGCGTGGCACATTGGATGACTTGGGGTTTGTTGCCCGCCAAGAAAAAACACCTGAGCTTCGCTCGCCACCTGACATGCAGCAACGCCTGACTGGTACCACACGCTCGCACTTGAGGACACGTTTGCAGAAAAAAACGCACTCATCGCTCGTGCACCGAAAACGCCGACTCTGTCGACAAACAGCCGTGTGCGATAATGCGGGTTCGAGACGCTGCTCATGGCCTGAGCCTATAAGCCAGCGCCTGAGTCGATCGCTGGCTATCACGGAGCCAGCGGACAGCCGGTGTTTGCCCGCGACTGTGGCGGCGCCAGCCCGTCGGCCGGCCCCCCTTCCGGCGTCGGCACTCACCTAGCTGCTGGCTCTGGTGCAGCGGCGCCTCGAATAGGTGTCGCACGTGCTGGCTGACTGTGCGCCGGGCCGCCTCCAGGAACACATCTGGTATGTCCACGGTCATGTAGGACATGTGCGCGTCATCTCCCAGGATGAAGGCCTCGATGAGCGGCGTCCGCTGCAGCGAGGCGGCCAGCTGCCGGCGCACAGACACGCTCACGTACACCTACCAGCGCACACACGCACACGCACGCGCACGCACACGCACACGCACACGCACACGCACACACGCACGCACGCACGCACGCACGCACGCACGCACGCACGCAGGCACGCACACACACACACACACACACACACACACACACACACACACACACACACACACACACACACACACACACACACACCTGCAGACGCACGCCGGAAACGGCAGGCTGACTTGACAGTACCCACATCTGTGGCGCCCGACGTCCACACATTTTTTGGTGCGTTCTTTGTGCCATTGTATGCCGCCGGGAAAACCACTAAAACCATACACACTATAGAATACTAAGTCAGCGAACACGGAATTAATGCTTAGCGTCCGCGGACGAGGGCGGCACTCGCCTGGTTGATGGGGAACAGGGCGGCCTCCTCGATCTCGGTGAACGGCGGGTAGAAGGAGACAGTGCACCCGTCCAGGATCAGGTCCACCTCCAGCAGAGGCAGCATGCTCGGGAAGCGGAACAGGCTGACGTACGCCTCCACCGTGCGCATCAGCACGTTTCGGAGCTGCCGATAAGGTAGGACCATCACTGCACCGGCTCGCCAAAGCAACCATGAAAGCGCAGCATTAGCTCCAGCTTCGATCTTTTAAGTACTATGACATCCGATTCGTCTGTATACGGCCTCTACACAATGAGCAGCTTAGCTGCATGTGTGCATCGTGACACGGATGATCTTTTGAACTCGCATGTCCCAAGTGGCAAAGCAGGACGCAGTATCTAAACCACGGAGCCACCGGCTCTGTTCTCACGCGGGGCTCTCAGTTGGCTAATTCACGCACCTATTTTCATAACAAGTCAAGCGATCGTGCAAACGGCAGGCCCAAATTTTCATCGACGGAAAATCCATGTATGAACCTAAAGGCCAGCGGCAGTGTCGCAGGTCAAGTAAATGAAACATCTCTCACTGATTCCAGTACCAGTTTTGTCAGGAATCCACGAATTTGACAGCTCTAGCGTGTGAGGGGAGTGCAAGTGCAGGCGCTGGATCACCATCACTGCCTGTTTTGGCATCTATCGGCTGTATGTCATGTGAGATCACGTCGGACGGTGGTGTAGTTTCCTATTCAGCTGGCGGGCTCCGATTGCGCTAACTCTGGGTGCAGCCCCGCTGTCGTACCCCGTCATACATCACAATACATCCGTCAAACAACCTCCGTCATACATCACAAACATGCACAAGTGCGCGACAAACAAAGCTGAATGGCGTCATCCCGTAGCCTCCCAGCTTTCTTGCGTGACCTTGCAGAAGCGAGGCAGCGATAGAGGGACCTTTGGATCTCCGGTTGTACTCGTACCGACGTGCCACCGAGTTGTGATTAGGAGCTATCGCACGGAAGCGGTAAAAAAAAAAAACAGACGGCCAAAGCCACTCAGCCGATCACGGTTATCACGTCATCACGGCACAAGCTAGGATTACCCTGGTTATTTGTCTACATAAATCGCCTCGCATGTTCATTTCAAGGAGCTGAAAGGCCTCAGTTTGCTGCCCGTCTCTCCGGCTTCTGTTGCAGGCAGCGCAAACTGAGGGGGTATACCCAGTGACTGGGAAGCGCGGGGCCAGCTCCCGCACTGCCGAGACAGCTAATCGGCTTATATGCCCAGGAATGCCCCACCGGGCAGTACAAAGCACGCCGCGCCGGTGGGTCGGCCGTATGATAACGATCGTGCGGTACGAGGACGGCCACACGCCCCCACGCCGGCCGTTAGTAACAGGCGGCAGAGCGGTGCCGTCGGACGTGCGCTGCCTGACCAGTCCCGCCCAAAGTATATATATATATATATATATATATATATATATATATATATATACCTGATGGAGAAAATTATAGGTATACGTGATCGTCGTTTTCATCGCGACGAAAACCAAGAGCAGGATGCGGCGTCAAAAGCACAACGAAGACGGCGGCGGGAGGCCAATGTGCGCACTGTGTCAGCTGGCACAAAAAACTGGTTTCTCGGCGAGGTTCGCAAACCGAGGAAACTGGGCCTGCAGATTTTGATCCTGTTTCGTAGTTACGAAAAGAGGAGAGAATTCCGAACCATGGAATAACTTTCAACCACATGCGATGCAAGGTAACTGGGAAGCTCTCATTTGTACACTGGCAAACAGTTAGCCGATGCCATAAAAAGCCGTTGCAGGTGCCGTTACTGTCGTTGCACACGAATGACCGCAATGCGCTGGCACCTGTTAAATAACTTCTGGAAACCAATGAACCACTGGCACATATCGTTGAAGGCTAGCCCTGCACACATCCGATGCAGAGCGCGCTGACCCCGTATCACGGGGAGCCGCGCGCGTGAACGGCCGTGCAGGACGTTCTGATTCGTAGTTCCCACCTATCGGGCCCACGTCTCTTTAAAAAGTCATGCACCATCTGACCCATTCACAGGCGTGCGAGTGCTGACTACGCCTTTCAAGAGGAAGCCACAACCGGCCCAGGCATGCCACTTGTGGGCCGTTTGAATGCAATTCATTCATAAGCAGCGCTGTAGTTGTGGGTAGGCAAACGCGCCACGTAATTCAGCGGGTCTCCCCGCTCGATTCCGGCTTCAGGCAAGCCACTTGCCGGCGGTCTGAGTGCCACCCACCCGCCGCGAGAGCTGTGGACAAACACGCCGTGTGATTTGAAGGCTCTCCCCGCGCCGACCCGTCCGCCGCAGCCGTCGCGCCTGCCCGCACTGGTGACGTCAGTGAAGAGAGCGCCCAGCCGGCGGCCCAGGCGCGGCGCCGGTGAGGCGCGACAGCCGTGGCGCGGGTGACGCCTGAGGCATCAGGGGACGGTGCTCGGCACATCAGCAGAGTCGCCTGTGCAGCCCGTCGGCTTGTCGTTAAGGGGTATGTGAAGGAAAACATGTGCATCCAGTGTCTTAGAATTGCCGACTTCGGGTGTAAAGCAACACCCAGGAACGCTCCACCAGGCAGTACAAAGCACGCCGCGCCGGTGGGTCGGCCGTATGATCGCGATCGTGCGGTACGAGGGCGGCCACATGCCCTCACGCCGGCCGTTAGTAACATGCAGCAGAGCGGTGCCGTCGGACGTGCGCTGCCTGAACAGTCTCGCCCGAAGTGTATATATATATATATATATATATATATATATATATATATATATATATGCACCTGACGGAGCAGATTACAGGCATGCGTGATCGTCGTTTTCATCGCGAAGAACGCCAAGAGTAGGATGCGGCGTCAAAAGCACATCGAAGCACAAGAAGATATGAGGGGAAGTTTTTCATTCCTTTTCCCCACACTTTGTGTGAATTTTTCACTCCTGCCTGACATTGTCTAATCGCACATGTCGAACCCCTATTTCCCTTTCTGAGGTTTTCACATGCCATCCAAAACCGACCTCACTTGAAACCACCAAGCATAAACGAGGCTCCACAGAACCTGGACACCTATGGCTATGTCCTGCCTCACCTACATCTGAACCATGTCTATGTATGCGCTGAGCAAGAGGGCCAGGCGCCTCCAAGCCCAAGAACGCAAGCGACTTCAGCTGCTCGCACGCATTAAGTTTGGTTTGTTTACAAAATGCATCACAATCGGCAGCTGTGTGCCAAATGCAAGGTTTTCACGCGTCGCCTATTTGTTTGGTCTCACCACCATGCTACGAAAGCAGAGCCTCGTGCAAGCACCAGCAAGGCATGGTGGATAATTTTACCTCACGTATTTATATTCCTAAATAAACTAAATTGCCACTAAATTGCATCACTCCCGAAATGCAGGAGTGAAAAATTCAAGAAGTGTCTTCTAAATTAAATTTACAAGATGAATATCAAAATTTCAGCACTCCTGTTAACAGATTTTAAGTCAAATTAGCTGATAACAAAATTTTGCCAGAAAAGTATCAGTCTTTATATCTATTCAACTACTTTTGCTTTTCCTGGTACCATACGAGTGTGATACCACTTTATTCTTCCTTCCCTTTCGATTGCCTTTAGAGGCACCATCTTTTGCTTAAAATGTTGACCAATTTCTCTGCAAGATGCTCCAACTGCAAACTTGTATGTATTTCATGCATAAATTGGATTAATTCGCCAGCCGCCCAAAACATGTTTGATATGCATCAAAAGAGTGAACAATTTACAGGGAATGAAGGAGACAATTTGAAGCACGGCACGTATCTTTACCGCCATTTTTGCCTTGTTAAAGCCTCGGTTAACCGTTTTCTTGGTTCATGGCGGTGCTCAATAATGATAAATCTAAGCCTTTCGAGTGTCTAACTCACCAAGCTACCTGACCAGGCTACCCTAATGCTGCCATACAAAGCTTTGGGACAGACATGACGCAGCTAATACAGAAGTGTTTGATGGCGAAATTCTGCCCTCTGGAGATGTTAATCATGCACACCTCTAACTTGTTTCGCATTTTAATCTCGTAGGTTGGTGGGCATAATTGATATTTATATTTGGCGGGTGAGTGATATGACTCTGTCTGCCAGCAGACCACGCAAAATGTACTGGCTTTTTGTTTCGGGGAGCGGGAAAAAGCCAGTAAGTCTGCCGTGGACCAAATAATTGCTTACCTTACCTGCTGTCAACCCATGTTTGGTAGCCAGAGTTACCCATTTTCTGTTTTAATCCATCGAGTTTTGTCATAAGACAAATTATGATGCAACGAGGGATGCAATGGGCATATTTCTTTCCATATTCTTGATTATTTGCCTCAAATTTCTTGAAGTGGTCCCTCATGGCTGCTTCAGCCAGATGTTTTCTACAGTTGCCATGGTTTGCTGACTGGCAAATGACTGTACTGCATATGTGCACTATATTTTTAACACATGGATATTCTATGCCGCATAGCAATTATAACTGAGTCAAATATTAGTATGTAATAAACAGTCAGACCATCCTTTTTAAAATGTGAGGCCAACGTCTCAAACTTTGTCGTTGCATATGAATAAACAAGCCTAAATAGATGTCTTTGCTGCAGCTGAAAAGGCAAGCAGCAATACTGGCATGGCCATCTAAAAGTTATGTGAATTTTGGAGAAGAGAGATTGCCTTATGGAGCATGCCCATCATTGCCCTTGACATAGGCCAACCATGGCAATCAAAATAAGTTGTTCGAAGTGATATAAAGTATTTTGATGTGTGTGTTGTCAACTTTGCCCGATGTCAATAAGCATACACAAATGAACTGTATAAAAATGCAAGTTGAAACCGGCCAAAAATTAGCTTTATCATGTTTTTATCACAAGTGCTGCTGTCAACAGAGAGGTGAGTTGAGATGATGTTCAACATATGGGCTATTCTAAGTTAGGTTAAGTTGGCTAAGTGCTTGGCAAGTGACAATAGGAATTGTGCAAGAATCAGTAACTCACAACTGCTGCTGTGATACAAACAGGTTAGACAGGACGATATGAATGAAGGCCTCTTTAGGTTAGGCATAGTTAGGCTACTTTCATGGAAATAAAAGCATTGGTATTTTGTAAGGAACAGTGACAAAATGTTTGTTTTCCCTGACCCCATCTTAACAGAAGCCAGAGGTATGTCCATTACGTTTGACTTGGTGATGGGCTGACGTGTAGAAGGCCCAGGTTTTTTGTGTGAGTGTTTTATGTTTGTTGAATGTTCTGTTGTTATTTTGTTATTGAATTCCCTTGCTTTGTGTTGTGTTAAAAGTGCTGTGGAAGGGAAGTGCAAACTGCAGCATCAAATTATTGGTGTTAATAATTTTGCGCGCTCATTACACTGTCATGAAATTACTATGCTTTAATGTATTCTGTGTCACTTTAATAGCTTAAGATGTTAAAAAACAAAACAGTTTTGTCAGGTTTCTGATATTACGCCCACGCCAACTTGAAATAGGTGTCTTTGTTTGCTGAAGCATCAGTCACGAGCTCACAAGTTCCATCTTTTGTGAACTGATTCTTTCACTTCCACATGGTCTTTTTGCGATGGAATTTTTCACTCCCACCCTAGTTCAAAGGCAATTCTAGCTGATTGTGTGCATCGCATCCTCAAAAAATGTCGCAGACTTCGGATGTAAAAATATGCCAATTTCGGAACGAGAAACTGTTTCGTTGCAGAGTTGTCAAGCTGCGCACCTTACAGGCTCGGAATGGATGACAAGATCAAGAACAACTATAGCATAAAGTCGCAGACAAAATTGAATCGCACACTGCCGCAACCTTTTTACCAAACGCCCTGCCAACGTGTGGTTGCGGAGCAGAGAAACTACAGCCTTATCAGCTGACAGGGGTCCGCATGGTGGGCCTCGCAGCCGCGGAGCTGATTGCGGTGAGCACAAACAGCCGGGCCGGGCCATCAAGCGGAACGAAAGACGGCCACACACCCACGCCGGCCGTTAGTAAAAGGCACCAGAGCGCTGCCGTCAGGCGTGCTCTGACTGTACAGCCCGGCCGCTCCCGCGCCCGCGCCCGCGCCAGCACGAGCACCCCTCTCGCCACCGTCACTCTCTGGGCCCGCAGTGAAGCCGGAGCCGCCGGGTGTGGGCGGACGCGGCGACTACCGGTCTCGCGTGCCAAACGGCCGGCCTCAAACAGGCGGTGGTGACGGGCGACAAGACAGAACCTGAGCAGGAAAGGACGGGTAGCCCTCCTGTAGCGGCACCAGCCAGGACATATCGTCGGTCAGAGTGTCAGGCCTGGGGGGAGGGGAGGGGGGACGGGCGGCGATACACACCGCCAATATTTCAAGAAGGGCTGTTGGCGCTGCCCACCACCAGCACGCCCCACGGGAGCTGGTCGCAGGCGGCTCCCACCTCGTTGGCGGCCAGCGTGTTGGCGCTGGCGAACAGACGCTGCCGGTGGAGCTTGCCGCCGCCGGCCGATGTGACCGCGCCGAATATGTCCACCAGCTGGCGGTACCAGGTGCGGTCCAGCCGCACCTCCTCCGTCTCGCACTCCTGCGTCAGCGTCTCCTTCCAGGAGTCGACGCTGAACTGGCGAGGAAATCTGCCGGCCGGCCGAGCGCGGCCAGGTCAGAGAGGCGCCCACTCCACAGCGAGCAAGCGATCAGTGACGGGTGGGGCCGCTATGACACACTGGATGGTAATTTGCTGCCACTGAAGGGATGACATGCGCGCGAATAGATCTTTGACTGGGCTCCAAGTGCAGCAATTGGCCTACGCCGGTCTCGTGCTGGCGAGCAAGTGGAGCGTTTGTTTGGCTACCCGTTACACCAAAATAAATGGCACTGGAACATTTGGCCGACAACAATTTGATTCCCAGGCAGCCGCTCCATTTGAGCCGTGAACAGTTGCTCCAGCCAGGAACACCCGAAAGGCAAATATCATGCGGTCACGACCTCGACACCATTGGCTCATATCTGTTCCCTACGTTTATTCTAGGCCCGGAACGCATCAAGCGAATTGTAGAATGTCACAAACACCGCTCTCCTCAGGGAAAGAAAACCAGCTGGTGGATGCGTCACCATCCCAGCAACACAAATGTTTTCCTCTAGTTGACGTGTCCCACCGACACAGTCAATCCCAGCCATCATACGAACACACACAAAACCAGCGTGTTATGCTCATAAGTTACTACGAGTGATGGCGAAGGCGGGCGCTGCAACATCTAGGTCACGGCCCGTTCCTCCGCGCCGGCAACAGGCCGCCGTTCCACTCACTGAAACTGCGTCCAGTCGACGAAGAGCGCGTCGCTCAGTACCGAGCGGCACAGCTGGAGGGCGTCCCGCAGGCAGTGGTGGGTGACCATGAGCCGGCGGTTGACGCGCTGCCACGCCTCAAAGAACGCCTGGTACCACGGCGAGAAGCCGACCCACCTGCGGTGCAGCAGGCGGCGATTATTTACGGACGCATCACGGCTGCATCGACTTTTACGGCCTAGGTCAGCGACAGCAAGCACGCCAAACAGACTGACGCAGGCAAAATAAGCACGGTCGTATTTTTATCCGAGCGCGCGGTGCCGGCAAGCCAGACGCGTCGCGGGCCCGGGCGCGAGTTGTCGCTCACAGTCGCACTCTGTAGGCCTTCACCTAGTCGCAATGACTCGTTAACTGCCAATGACCATCTGGTAGGTCCTGTCATCCAGAACCGGCAAACCAACTCGCTGGCTGTTAAATATCGGCGGCTATCACATCCCGTTATCTACTGTCAAACGTGACTGACCGATGTCTGTAATGTCCGGCAGAAGGTGGACGTCACTAGCGACGCATTTACAACAACCGAGGAACACGCATTAGCTTGAACCAACCTCAACCAGCCAGGTTCACTTTGTTGACTAAACCAACAAAGTGTAACCGGAAGTAAAAGGCGAGCGACACCAGACATGAAAAATTTTACATAAACCGCCCGCCAATGCTTTTGACCAGCATGGCCGCACTCCAACCTCCCCCCCCCCCCCCCCCCGGCACGGGTTGGCGCGATAAATTTCAATGGCTAGTGACCCTGATAGTCGTAACCGGTACGCATCATATAGTAATACCAGAGAAGTTGCGAGGTTGTATTGCCGGGCGGATGAGCAAATAACGCGGGTCAGACCAATGCTCTGGGGGGGGGGGAGGGCAAGCCGATTATGTGGTGTTTGGGGTCAACCCTCTGAAACAATCGGATCGTCACTGCCTCCGGGCAGAACATGCAAGGCTTCGGGGGGGGGGGGGGGGGGGGGGGGGCAGGGCCTCGGTTCCAGCCCCCGCTAGCTATACACATGATTGGTGTGCTATTAACCTGATGGGACCGTAATTGCAGCCGCGGTTGTTAATTCTACGCTGATGTACAACGTGACACGCCGAATATTTTATACTACAATACGCCGAATTTCTTATACCATCTTTGGCATCGTCTGCGCAAAACGACGCTAAAAGCAGGGCATGCTATGAGGAGATGAAGTCCCCATTCAAGTGTACTGGCCAACGCTGATGTCTGACAGCCGACGCACCACCAATACACCAACAGACGGCGGCCGTTCAAACGTGTGCAGCTGTGACTGGCACCCGTCGGCGGCAACCCGCCCCCTCCCACCCCCCCCCCCCCCCCCCCCCCCCCCCCCCTCCCCCGCTCCCCGCGGCGCTCACGGCAGTTCGGTGTCTTTGGCGCGCGGTACGGGCGGCTCCACCACGGGCTTCAGGTCTGGCACCGTGCGCGCCACCAGGTCACGCCGTAGGCGGGTCGGTGAAGCCCCTGCCGCACCTCCTCCACGAGCGCCGCCACCTCTGTCCCGTACTTGCGGGTCAGCGGCGCCGGAAGCAGCTGTGGACACGGCCGGAATCAGCCGCGCGCTTCACCCAGGCCAGCTGTGGACACGGCCGGGATCAGCTGTGCTCTCCGTCCGGGCCAGCTGTGGACACGACCGAGATTAGCTGTGAACACGGCCGGGATCAGCCGCGCACTCCGCCAAGGAATAGCTGTGGACACGGGCCGGGATCAGCCGCCGCGCTCCGCCCGGAATTAGCTGTGGACACGCCCGGGATTAGCCGTGCCCTCCGCCCGGGATTAGCTGTGAACACGGCCGGGATTAGCCGTGCTCTCCGCCCGGGATTAGCTGTGGATACGGCCAGGATTAGCCGTGCTCTCCGCCCGAGGCCACTCAGAACGGGATCGATCTCTGCTGTGAGCGCTGTCCGCCTCAGCTGAGCACCAGATCTGAATCGGCCGTGGCCGCTTTGGCAGCGGGACGATCGGGCACGACCGCTGTTGATAGAGTTGAGGGTTTAATGTGAATATTACACATTTCGCCGAACATTCTGGAAAGTAGCGAGCGCATTTGGGCATAAAACATCCTAGAAATCGATGCACCCTAAATAATCAGCTTCCATCTATCGGACGAGTGTTACTCTATGACCCGTATCGATGTATAGTTTTACATGGACGCATGCATTCAGCACACTGAATCAAGTATTTAAGCAATTAGATACCAACGATTTTTGTTCTTAGCTCAACCTCAGCATAGTGCGACAAGGATACATGGTGTCAGCTTCAGCGAAACTGATCTACCGCATGTGCACTTTAAGCGTTAAGATTTAAATGAAAATTAATTTACCCAGACGCATCGCAACAATGCAATTAGACAGCAAACCATGAATGACCACGACCATGAACCGATCAGGGCACAACAATAACTCAGTGCACATACTAGTGGCGGTCTTAGACAGACAGAGGCAACGGCAGCTCTCCCTGACTTGGGAGACCGATAGCCAACTTTGATTATTATTTTCTCCAATGAACGAAATGACCCTTGCGAAAACAAACCCGCGGTCCAAAACAGGCCGCCTTTATCAAATAACGGGCCACATGGGAACCGGCCACACGGGTGCGCCCATAGAGCTATCTGGAGTCTGGTTAATTCACGAGATCCGGCTGGGCGGACATGCTGATTGACGATCGAGTGTTCCGGCAAACGACGTGCAGTTAGAGGTGATGGTGCCATCCTGGCGTGGAACGGCCATCGACGAGCGTGGGAGAGCGCCAGGTGACGCCGGCGTAGTACCGAGCCATGTCTGGCCAGTAGTAGCTGGTGCCGGTGCGCACGCGGACTGGTCGCGCCGCCCGCGGTGTGGCAATGTGGTGCCGGTCCCCGAGTGATCTGTCGAGCTCGGCTCAGGACGACTGAGGAGACCGGACGCGGTATATGGAGCCACTGGACCGGGCGACAGGCTGACGAGAGGGCGCTACTGAGCGGCCGCCGCCGGTAGAGGATGCTCACTACGGGCCGGACGGTTATCAGAGGGCACTCCTGGATCGGGCCGCCAGCATGCGCGACCAATGAGACGATATCGATTATGTTCGACGGACCTAGCTCCAGCATCTCCGTGGAAACAGGACCAGTGTTTTTGAGGACGGCCACTAGCGACTGGGCTGTTTATCGAGGTTGTAAAATTAAGCTGTTGACCAAATGACGGCGGACGCAGTGGCAGCGTGTCTGGCAGAAACGAAGGTCGCGTGTTAGGCGCCGGGGCCTGGCTCCTGCCCGTGAACGTTCCCACGCCGCGGCCTCCTGAGCACACCGTGCACTGGCCCGTTGACCGGTCAGTTCGCGATGCCCTCCCAGGGCACCTCCCTTCTGCTGGCCTTGATGACGTTCGTGACGCTCACCTCATCCGTGCTGTACTACCTGCAGCAGTCTGACTTGGCACCAAGCCTACCGGCAGCGCGGGGCCACGCCGCGGCTCCGGCCGGCACCTGGATCGACCTCCCAGTCAGCACGCGGCCGCGAAAGACAGTCCTGCTCTACACCCGGCTGCAGGGCACCTTCGAAAACTGGCGGCGTCGCTTCGGCGAGAGCTTCGACGAGTGCCGCTGGTCGCGCTGCGAGGTGACGACCGAGCGGGCCGCGCTGCCCGCCGCCGACGCGCTGCTCTTCTCGCTGTACGACCTGCGACCGGACGAGCCGCTGCCGCCGCGCCGGCCCGGCCAGCTGTGGCTGCTGTACGAGCGCGAGGCGCCGCCGGCCGTGCGGCGCCGGCACCCCTCGCTGCTGGGCGCGATTGGTCGGCACTTCCACTGGGCCATGTCGTACCGGCGTGACGCCGACATCCCCGTGCCGTACGGCATGGTGCTGCCGCTCGGCCAGGCGCCGCCGGCCGCCAACCAGTCGCGGCCGCCGCGAGCCGGCCCGCAACCCGTGGACGGGCCCGCGTGGAGACGGCCGGGGCGCGCGCGGCGCGCACGGCCCGGGCCGAGCGGGCGTTGTGGCGCAGTGGCGCCGGAAGGTGGGCCCGCGGGTGGCCCCCGTCGTCTGGGTCAGCTCGCACTGTCACACGGAGAGTCAGCGCGAGACCTACGTGCGCCAAATGCGAGACACCATCGACATCGACGTCTACGGCGAGTGCGTGCCGAGGCCTCCACGCACAGATGCTGCAGCGCGTTATGTTGAAACGTAACTTCCGAGCTCATATCTTCTGACGTTTGTCCAAGACAACTGGAGAGCTGCGTTGATTCTCAAAAGGCTTACACTGCAATCACACTGTGCGTACATTTTCTTAACTAGCCAAATCGTTAATTGGTGTCTCTGGGAAAGGGCGCAGATAGCCACAAAGATATCACTCCAGCCCCGAACAAGCGCCTCCTTTATGTTGCAGGTGCGGCGAGCTAAGCTGTCCCATCACGAAGAAGGGCTTTTGCATGCGTCTGTTCCAGCAGCACTACACGTTCATGCTCGCCTTCGAGAACGCGCTGTGCGAGGACTACGTGACGGAGAAGTTCTTCAACGCGCTGCAGTACGGCCTGGTGCCGGTGGTGCTGGGCGGCGCCAACTACAGCCGGCTGGCGCCGCCCGGCAGCTTCGTGGACGCGCAGCAGTTCGCGTCGCCGCGCCACCTGGCTGAGCACCTGCTGCACCTGAGCGGCGCGCCGGCCGAGCTGGCGCGCCTGCACGCCTGGCGGAACCACCACCGCGTCTACAGCGGCGAGCGTCACTTCACATGGTGGAAGTGCGAGCTATGCCGGCGGCTGCACGAGCGGCGCGCGCACGTTCACCACACGGACATGTACCGGTTCATGCTGGGCGAGCAGCAGTGTCAGGGCTCGTGGCAGGCGGCGCTGGCCGCGCGGTACGGCCGGCTGCCGCAGGACGACGAGGAGTGACGCGCGGGTCACGCGGCGGCGGCAGCGGAGGCGGTGCGGGGTGGGACGGCTGGCGCGCGCGTCTGGACCGGATCAGCGCGCCGCGGAGAGCCGCCAGACGCGGTACACCGGTGCTCACTGGTGTTGTGAGGTCAACATTCCATTGTGCGGAATTGGACACCCGGGGGTCGAAGCACAGGACAGTACTTGACTCCAGGACGGTGCTCCCAGTTTCGCCACAATGCACTGTATTTCTGTACCGCGTGACTCACGTTTGATCCAATGTCTGTATCTTCACGACGTTTGCGTTATAATCTCGTATATGGTTTGTTGTGCATTGATAACGATACCCAAAGTAATGTACGTAAAGCATAGGTGTCATCAACAGCACAGTGTCCTGACTAGCAATCCTGCATTAATAACTGCGTCTCTGACCCAAACCAGCTACGCTTACCTGGCTTGCAAAAAGCAGACGTAGTCAGACGTAGACGAGCTGTAGAAATGAATCTGTGTTTCTGATCGGGTGTGACCTGCCTCTGACTTGAACTTAATCAGCGTCTCTGATCTGGACGTGACATCCTGATTTGGACGTGACTCGAATACCTGACCTGGGCCCGAGCAGCACCTCCGGTCTGAATGTGGTCAATTTCTCTGACCTGGGCTTGAGCTACATCTGAACTGGACATAACCTGTGTCTCCGACGGTTAGACCCTCTTGGCGCCTTTGACCCAGACCTGACGCATACCACTGACCTAGAACCCGACCTGTCTCTATCCTGGACCTGATCGACGTCTTTGACCTCGATGCGACTGCGCCCCCAACAGCTGCAGGTGACCCGCGTCGCCGGGGTCTCTGACCAGCCCGGCATGTGCATTCCTGACCGCCGAAGCTGGTCGCCACGAGTGACCTCGACGTGGCCCGTACAGTAAAGACGCATTTGTGTAGCGCCTGGGCATGACCTGCTCCTCTGACCTGGAAATGGTCTGTGTCTACCTACCAGGAAATGGCCTGTGACCTGCTTTGCGCCTGAGCGGGATGTGAGCCGCCTTCCTGACCTCCGGACCTGACCTGTGTCTCTGACCTGGACCATGTTGTGCAGCCACAGCTCGGAGACGGGCGGGATAGGCGACAGCCCCACGCAGTCCTGCAGGAAGCTGATGTGGTGCTGGTCCTTGAATGTGGGCTCCCAACCGGTGGGGAACGGGCGCCGCTGTAGACGCTCATACACGCGCGCCTTGTCCAGCATGGCGCGCAGCTCGCTGGAGCAGGGCAGGGTGGCAGGTTATGTCAGCGGCCAGTGCAGCCTGACATGGCTTGCCGATATGGGTGGCAATGGGCGCATGGAGACGTGCCGTTAGTTTTTCGTTGACTATCATTATGTTATATTGTCAGATTGTGTTTTGAGGCCTCTGTATCATAGTGTGTTTAGCTGACCGATATTCAGCACAATTCCCATACAATGAACATATCAACGGCCCAGCGAGGGTTCAGCGCGGATTCCTTCATTTGCCCTACAAGGGTTGCCTGCATCAGCTTCTCGACCACGCGTGCCCCTAGACGGCCATCACACCAAGCACTGAACGTCCAACGCGGAGCAAATATGATCGCTACCACAAATACTAACGGGGCACGTGCGCGGAGCGCATGCGGCGGTGGGTGATGGAGGTCTGACAATCACGCACCAGCACCGCAGGCCAGCGCAGCGCCGACCAGCATAATATCGCAGAATTTGCTACAGCTTACTGCAGACAGACCTTCGGCCAAACTTGGCTAGCAGTATCCGCCATGAATTTGCGTTGGGCCAGTGTTTGTTCGTGAATCGTTGTCAATGTGGTGCTGGTGCAAGTTAGCATGGAAATTGTTAAAGCGCTGAACACAACGACCACAACTTACAGGTGTCTCTGGAGCTTCAGTTGTTTTTGTTTTTCGGCCCTAAATTTAAGAAGAAAACAATCCTTAAATTGGTCTCTCCTGAAGGGTTGATAACTTGCATCTACAGCTACCGGTGGCAGCTTCACTTCTGAATGACTCGATTTCTTTCTTCGCAGTGCCATTGTGCGGATGTTAAATCGCCGACTTTAAAGATGAAATGGCGGGACGTCCACGATGGTCCTCAGTCAAGCGCACTGCGCGGCAAGATGTGATAGCTCTTCGATGCCGCAGCGGGGTGGAGCGGGCAACGTTTCAGCGCCCTCGAGCCACCTAAAAAAAGAATGCTGCTGTGTGGTGACCATCAATCAACTGAACTAAACGATACAACGTAGACAGTTATGTCAATACACAGGTCACCATTTGTTTTAAGAGACTGAGTAAAAAGACCAAAATCCACAACGACCACAATTCAGCCAGCAAACAGACAACCAGGATCGTTTATGGGGTCCCAGTGCTGTTGATGTCCTTACAAAACGATCCAGAATCTGAAAAGAAAAAGCAACGCTGTGAAATACGGGAGGCCGGGACCCAGGAACCTACCTGGTTGCGCCAGTTACATACAAGAGCATTGCTCGACCGTCACCACTCAGTTGACATACCGCGTATCAGAGCAAAAAAATCGGAGTGGATAAAATGCGCGCCCGGCTTACTACCCGGGGAGCCCAACTGTCTCGTTCCTGCAACGGTACTTAGACATGTACGGTTCCTCGCAAAAAGATGCCTTCGCTCGTGGAAAGCAGTGCAAAGCAAAGACATGTTGTCATTTGCACGCATCCCTATTATGCATTTGCATGCATGCATATCGCCGTTATTTGTATCACAACTTACCGTTTTTATTTAGTCATGTTTGTTCAGTCTACCTCACTCCTTCACTACCACGCATTCATTCCCGTCCTGACACATTTCGACATGACGCGAATCGGTGCTGTAGTCGGTACCGCAAACCGCTGTTCTGCGCCAGGACATGAACCGGCATCAAAATTGTCTACATGAAGCTGTGCGTCCTTTGCCCAGATGTGTCACCATGGCGACAGGGCTGAAAGCTACGGTTTCGCACATATTGTATTAGGTTTTTGAGGTCCGAACCAGGGTAGGAGGCACGGACGACGAATCCAAGCAGTGTGGACTGCGGCATCGAAATGATTTATGTGGTCTCCTTAGATCCTTTTCAGAGGCAAAACCAATGCAAATTTTACAATTTTATGAGCAAAGAATTGCTGTGAACTAACGTACTTATAAGTATGCATACACACGCAATGCTGGTAAGCCAGGTGACAGCAAGAGTGTTACACAATACATGACGCCGCAGGGATGCTTGCGTAACGCTTGTAACATTTTCAAGACGTATTTTTACTTATCTTGTGCTATTTTTGGTGCAGTGCCGATGTAACAATTGTGCTAAAAGGTCACTGACTACCAGGCCCGTACATTACTCGTCTTCCCCCAAACAAACGAAAATGGCTTAAGCACCACGACCTGTTTCTAGAATTTCAGCTGATGCAGCATCACTGCTATCTTTTAGCTGACATCATACATACTTCGTCTAAGACAGCGTAATCAACCAATACAGGTGATTGCTCGTGCCTGAGATCCAAGGAAAGTCAAGCAAATGCACCAACATTGGAATTAGTGGCGATGTATCGAGTACCTTTGAAGACAATAATGGCGCTTTATGGACCTTCTAGTGGATATTGGATTCTGCGGATACCCCAAGGCGGTGTAACGGCGAATCCCGTGGCCCGCTCTGTTGCAAGTGTTTTTCTAAGGGCCGGCTGTGCCTGTAATTTCGCTTTAGGTTCCATTTCAATCCATTTGGGAAGAGGTAGGCCATATAGAACGTACACAAATTCATGTAACTTAGCATCGCTGTTTATTGCTGTGATAGTGGATGTGTCTGCCGCGGTGATTTATATGCTTTGTCGTAATACTAACCAGCTCAAATCTCTGATTTCCACAGAAAATAGCATGATGCTTAACTGCTTATTTCACAGGCATCGCATTCTTTCCAGAAAATGGTAATTGTGATACTGTTCCGCTCAGTGCTGACGGTGTGCAGCCTCATAGAAGCAGTTTATGTTGGCCTGTCAAGAAGTTGCAGGCCTATGTAAAGGGTCATGTTTCTTTGTAGTGCTTGTCATGAACCAGAAAAATGATGGATCTATTATTTAGCATAGTTCAGATTTAATTTTTTATGGCACAGTGTACCTCAGGAGCCTTTTAAATGCATTATGAGTTGAGTATGAGTGAGCACCACCCGCTATGGAAAAAAATTATACCAGTAGCCACCAATAATTGATGTGGTTGTTTAACTTTGATACTTAAAGGCAGAAAGTAAATATGTTCAGATGAGCTTCATGTTCAGTAAAATCCAATTCTGAACAACTTATCAAAATACAAAAATTTGTTGAGTCCTGCATAGCTTGGAAATGTATCTTGCACCCTGGTGAGATATTTTGACCATACCCAACATGTCCAAAATATTATGAGTATTGAAAGGTCATTCAGCACAGAGCTTTTTTATGCAATGTGAAATGAACCCTTGATGCCAACAGGTTTTGACAGAAAAGATCATACTACTGTGTGGACCAGAAATGATCTTGATTGAAGGAATCTGGATTTAAATAACTGAAACCTGTGTTTCTAATCTATGTTAGTTGTTGCATATGGTGATCAGTGTCTGGTTATTTTTGTTACATTGGTGCTGAGCCTGTCATTTTGGAGGAAGCTTTGTCTTTAAGTCAAGTTTTGATTGAATCTTTTGCAGGGATGGCTTTAAAGCCAGTCATTTTCAAGCACAGCCTGTAAAAGTGTTGATTTATATTCTTTTGTTGGGCCCAGTTTGCCCAGTGCACCCAATGCTCCTCCCCCCCCCCCCCCACATCAAGTGTTGTTGTAGCCCCTAATACTTCTGCTGGATTTTTATTGATAAGAAACACTCAAGTACCACACAAATCTTACCTCTCCATGGACATCCTTTGGTGGCTGTGAACATGTACTACAGTGCTGAAATGAAGGCTTTTGGGAAATGATGACAAATAAGAAGCTGGAAATTGTTCTTTGCAAAATAAATTGAACTGAATTCATTGAGAAACACATTTTTAGAATTTGGGCTGGCAAGTGCTCAGCTCAGCTTAGCCCTCCCCTCCCCCCAGTCAGCTACCAAAAAAAATGTTCCTGATGAGAACCTCATGCCACCACCTCAAGCAGAGCAATAGAGCATATTGCATCTTGGGGAAAATGTTTGCTTACTTGTCCACTTGCTTGTTTCAGGTTTCTTGGCTTGAAAAATATGAAAACACAAGCATCTTATTTGGATGCTAGTGGGGCAAAGGCACTGCTGGAGTCAGTTGACACATTCTTGTTTGATTGTGATGGTAAGCAAATGATTGTTGTCTTTGTAGCAATTTATTTCCATGTAAGAATGTGTATGGTGTTATGCATGCATCTTTATTTTTACATTTGTCTTACAGTGTATGCATGGTACAATGAGAGACATCCCAAATGAAACATTCAAGCTGCATCTGCAATATTATTGTTAGTCACACTGTTTGCCATGTCAGTATGTTGATGTATGTTTGGGAGAATGGGATTGTTTTATTCCTAATAGTGAGCACCAGATTTATGTATTAATAGCACATATGTGCTGACTTCTTCCTCTGTTGAAACAAAAACATTGTTTCAGGTAAGGCTATGTTTGATGATTATTTTAACAGCTACCCAGCCATACTAATTTGATTTTCATATATTTTGAATCTCACATGGCTTAATGAAAATAAGCAAAAGTTAGCAGGCATATAATGTCCCAGGCAGTCTTCCAGCATATAGTTCTGATGACATTTATCTATGGATAGATATTCTCAAAACACATTAATCCAGACCTTCAGCTGACACGTTGGTACCCGCTAAAAGACAGGCCATGTAATGAGACATTTTTTCAAGTCTAGGCCAACTTATTGATTGTATGGATTTCTGGGATCAGAGCTTACACTAAGCAGTACTTGTGTGAACTCATGACTCCTTCATCTGATCTTGCTTGAGTGGCTGCTATCATCGACCTCAGGGCATCCCAGCTCGGGGAAAATAACGAGCGCCGTAGCGCATCTAGCCTTGTCAGGCACGGGCTGGGAGACAGACGGCCAGTCTGATTAAGCTAAGGAGCAAACTCTCAGGTGACAAAAATTGTGTACATTAACTGGGCTTATAGTGTTTTTGTTTTCACATGGCGCATTCATGAATCCTGCGTTGAAACATCTGATTTGGTTGAACTTTTGTCGGGAGAAATGTTATCTAACGCATTTTCTTGTGTTTTATCCTATCTCAGGTGTGCTGTGGCATGGCGCTAATGTGATTAAGGACGCGGAAGCAGTGGTGAACAAGCTGCAACAGCTCGGGAAGAAGGTTTTCTTGGTAACCAACAACAGCACTAAAACACAAAATGAGTATGTCAGCAAGTGTGCCAAGTTAGGCTTCCAATGCTCTCAGGTATGTCAGCACTTGCTCAGCAGGTTTCGTGGGGTGGGTGGCCGAGTTACTTTTGTGAACAGTAAGATCTGCTGAGTAGATGATTGATGTTTTGGCTCAGTCTAGCTCATGTTCAAGTTATATATATATATATATATATATATATATATATATATATATATATATATATATATACATGCAAAGACACATGTCTGTCAGTGCCCTACACATTTCATGAGATTGTCAAATTAACCATGTGGCATTGCATCAAAATGACTGACTTGCAAAAAGAGTCTTCCTGCACCCCCCCCCCCCTCCCTTTCCCCCACATCATCACCATTTCTTGAATGTTTTTATGCCTCTGGAGCTGCCTTATTTAGTACTACAAGCCAACCTATTCTGGTTGTTTCAGTTACTTTTAAGTAGTTTTGAGCATCATTTAGCACAGCTTCCTGCAAAAAGCAAACATGTTTGTGCAACATTATATGCTAACCAAAGATGGTCTCAAGCAAGGTAATGGATGCATTGTTCAGGAGATTTTAATCAGATTCATAACTCAACCCCAGATCTGGCATGGTGGCAGGTCTCCTGCTTTGGCTGCTTGTTCATGCAGCGAGCATGACACATACAACGGGTGCGTTTTCCTGATTAGCACGCTGCGCGCTGTCGTGGTTTTCACAAAAGCGCATGCACTGTTCGATAGGTAGGCCTGTTTGGGTCTTTGATGGTATCCTGTGTGATGCGCGGCAGCTCAGGCCGTTGTTGCACCTGATCAAGCTTCTGTGGGCGTCCTCCTGCGACTGAGTGCTGCGGCGCCAGTCTGACACAGCGCCGCTGCCCCCAGTCCCAGGTGGTCAGCACGTCGTTCCTGACGGTGCAGTACCTGAAGTCGCTTCACTTCGACAAGAAGGTGTACCTGGTGGGCTCGACCGGCCTGTCCCGCGAGCTGGACGCCGCCGGCATCCGTCACATCGGCCTTGGCGTGAGTCAGCAGCCGCCGCTGGGTGGCGCCACTGTCGCCGCCAGGGGCTGGATCGGCGGACGCCGGCCAGGCTGAACTGTGCCACCCTCACACAGTCAGCAGCTAGCTGTGAGCTCGCCGCCAGACCTGCCGATGTTTGGGATATCGGAGGCTGTGTGCCACCCTGATGATCATTGTGTGGATTAAATTTTCTGAACGTGATGATGCCGCCTGTTGTAACCAGCGGCCAGAGGGTGTTTGTCTGTTTCCATTTGCACATGTCAGGGTGCACTGATAGTGCTGGCCCACCTAACACCAGATGCCTGGATGACACGGTGGAGCAGTAACAGGTCGCTGGTAGTTGTTTAGGTCTGACCATGCATGGGCACTGGTGAGAAATGCAACATGGATGTTAGGGTTTCTCTTTGAGCCTCTCTGTGCATGGGCTGCGCGTGTGGTTGCCAGAGCTGTGTGAGGTGAGGTGAGACCAGGTGTGGTGAAGTGAGATGAGATGAGGTGTGGTGAGGTGAGGTGAGGTGAAGTGAGGTGAGATGAGATGAGCTGAGATGAGATGAGATAAGGTAGGGTAAAGTGAGGTGAGACGAGAGGCGAGATGAAGTGAGGTGAGGTGTGACGAGGTGAGGTGAGGTGAGGCGAGGTGAGGTGACGATTTTGCCACTCTCCCGCCCGGCAGCCGGATGTGATGGAGGGCAACGTATTTGACGGCCGGCTCGACCACATTCGCCTCGATCCCGAAGTGGGCGCCGTGGTGGTCGGCTTCGACAGCCACATCTCCTTCAACAAGATCTTGAAGGCGTCCTCCTACCTGAAGAACCCGGACGTGCTCTTCGTGGCCACCAACCGCGACGAGCGCTTCCCTATGGAGCACCTCATCTGCCCTGGTGAGAGGAGGGGGCCGCGCAGGGCTGTCCTGGGCGTGCGCTTGGCGGCCAGGCATCAACTACGCTCACAACAAGACCGTCTGCTTTATGATAACGAACAATCTGCCCACCAATTCACTCTTCTGGTCTGATCAGTGCCGCCTAAGACCATTGAAATTCGGCATAGCACTTGATATCCCTTTGTTAGGTTCGTGGTATGTCAGAGCGTGGGTGGCGGATCGTCACTGTGATGGCTATCGACGTGATGTGCTGTCGCCGTGCCTGATCCGCAATGCACTCGCTACATGAAGCATAATGCATGTCTGTTCTGCATGATACTGGCAGCGGAGCATGCATAGGATAGTTGTGTGTGTTGGCATGGCACGCTTATCGCCATCCTCGGCGGCTTGGTGTGTTGGGGTACCGTATGATTTAAACCAGCTATTAACTTTTGTCCGCTGTTATGGGCCGGCTGAAGGGGTGTGGCATAGTCAAAAAGAAATCTCGGTTTCAATAAAGGGTGAATGCAGTGGCACCGCTTTCTCCTGATTCATAAGACATTTTCATGTTGCCACACATTCTCCCATTGTGCTGTAATATTTCTGTGAAGTTTGCATAAATGTCTTCAGTGGCACAATAGAAGTGCTTTCAAACATGGAGGCATTTACCGTGATTCTTTCAAATCTGGAAGCATTGCGGCATGCACTGCTACAGATGGCCAGCTTTATATAAGGTCACTGGGCGCAAAATGACCGCAGAAGTCGGCACGCCCTAAAACGCCCAATCATCATCATAATATAAGGTCACCATTTGTAGCAATATTTGCTTTATTCTGTGGTTGCTGGGGCTGTACAATGCTTTGTAAGATCAGAATATGGGTATCATTCCCTGAAAGAAATTTAGAGAGCGTTTTGCTGTAGGCCCAGAAGCTTAAAGCTCACGCTAAGAGACATGCGTTTTTTTTTTTTGCCCTTACCTCTTACGTATGCACTTGATACATTGAACAATTTGGATAGCTGACGATTGGTGCACACTTCTCATTGTGCAGATGTCCACAGATGGCTACAGGCGAATCCTGCACGTGCTCCGCCAGACCATGCTGGATAGCTAGTGTTGCTGTCTTTGAACGTCCCTGCCATTAGGGCGGAGGAGATGACAACAGTTGAAAGTGACACCATCAATTATTTTCAACCAGGAGCATCGGCTATTTGTTATGTGATGAGATCGAGTTGTAAAATTGGATGGCATGGATTCATTTTCCACTCCACACTTCTGAATATGTGACAGTCATGGATAGTTCCCGGGCCCATTTTATATAATCGCAAATTAATATGACGGCTTAGGCCATCTTAAGCCGGCTGAAGCTGATGAACTCCCGCTCAAAAACAACGGCTACGGCTTTTTCGACCCGGCTGGTCGCCCCATAAGTCCGGGGGAATTGATGTTGGACGCAGTATCCCAGTGGCTGACGGCGCTTGTAACGGCTGTGTGTGACTGTGGCTTTACGACGCACTCAGCTGCTGAGGCTCTGTGGCGTCGCCTGTCACGTATCGTGGCAGGAAGGTAGGAAACCGAGGGAATCGAACCCCGTATCTTTGGTTTTCCAAACGCGCAGGTTAGCCACGACACTATTTACACTATCGGTGCTATCGGTACTCGTGGATAACCGCTGATTTTAGAAACGCAAATCTAGTGTGACTGAAGAACGACAAAACGAAAAACCCGCCAGAAACTTAATCGCGTTTGACCTGATAATGACTAGTACCTTAATTAGTGACTAAGCGCTGGCGAATAAATCGTACCGATGCCGGTCAACTTACACGGCAGTAGGTACGAGTCCGGGGAGCGGGCGCACCGTTTGCCGTCGACTGGCCTGTAAAGTCACCCTGGCCACCGGCTAACGAGGGTCAACCTAGGTCCTGGGCGACCGTCGCGCAGCATTGCGCGGCACGGAAAACGCTCTGCATGCTTGCCTAGCGAAATAGTGGGTGCAAAATTATCTGTTGAACTGGGCGACACTACGTTAGTCGTGCGGAACGTTTAGAGTACACAAAACAATCTGTGCTGAACATCTACGTGCAGTGCGAAGCCATTCATACCGACCAATCGGAAAAGATGGGTGAAAAAACGTGTTAAACCCACTTTTTGTCAACCCTAGTCCTTGGCATGTCAGTCATGTGTTCCAGTGTGCGGCCTTGCTCCCCCAGCGTGAACAGGTGCGATCACACAGTGGGGCGTGTCCCGGCGTGTCGGTGTGTGACCCTGCTCGTCTAGCCTGTATAAGTGCGGCCCCCGCGGTGACGGCCATGTGGTGTCCTCGTGCGACCCTGCTGCTCGTGCTCGGCAGGTACGGGCACCATGGTGGCATCCGTGTGCGTGGCCTCGGGTCGCGAGCCGGTCGTCATGGGCAAGCCGTCCCAGCAGGTGTTCGAGGCTCTCCGGCAGCAGCACGGTCTCGACCCGGCCCGCACCCTCATGGTCGGAGACAAGTGAGCATTGTCAGCAGGGGAGGAAACAAACAATGCATCGATTTTGCCTGTTGCAATTTGGAGGTGAAGACAGACTCGTGGCGAGCGGCAGTCAGTCTTCAAGCACCGTTGCTTGCAAAGTTGCGTGAGTGTGCGTAAGCTAAGCATCAGCGCACCCCTGTCTGCTGAACTTATGAAAGAAGTATATTGCACTGCCCGTATGAGTCATAATCATATGGGTGCTTGAAGATGATGGGTTTTACTCACCTATGTCTTCCCATCATCTACGACGACGACGGTTACAATGGTACAACTATCACTATGATCAACCTTCGCTCGTTCCATGCCGCAAACGTCGCCCGGCTGGTGTGTATTTGCTGGATGCATGTTGTCAAGCAGAAGGTCATTGCGGGGGCGCGTCGCCGGTAGCCGCCCGCCTGCTGCGCCGTGCTCGCCGCGCTGTCTTGTGAGCCGCGCCGAGCTCTGATGGCGCCGTCCTGTCGCTAGCTGCAAGACGGACATCACCATGGGGAACCTCTGCGGCCTGCGCACGATGGCTGTGCTGACGGGCGTGACGACGGCCGCCGAGCTGCAGCGGCTGCGCGGCTCGGAGCGCGCCGACGAGGCCGTCCAGGTGCCGGAGCTGGTGCTACCCGCGATCGGGGACCTTCTGCCGCACCTCTAGCGCGGCCGGCCGCCGCCGCCGAATCTCAGGGCCGGCAGGGGCCGGGTCGGCGGAAGCCCCGGGCGAGGCGCGCCGGGCCGGCTGAATCTGCTTCGGGTATTTGTTGTGTCGTCTTATCTCACAGAAGGTGGTTGGGTGGAGATGCGTGTCGTATGTCGGCAGGGGGAAGATTGTGCCATTCTTTGTACTGTGTGTCGTGGTACACGGCTGCACCATGCTCAGCGACCAGATGTCGGGAAGGGTTGGGAATGTCACGATACGTTTGATCTGGACTCTTTGTTTAACTTAGCAAACTTAGCGCGCGTCGGGTAACCTTACTTAACAAACTTAGCACGCGTCGAGTCACCATGCCCAAGAACAAGCGCAGACAGATCGCTCTGACATTGGTGTCGTGTTTTAACGATACTCGTGGATTATCTCACGACGTTGTGATGTCCAGTTCAGTGTGCTTAGCCCCGTTTAAAACTGTTATTTCAAGAAAAAGATGGCACGTCAATTCGGAACGTCAACCCGCTGTGGTGCCGCCGGCTTGTTTTGATGCCTCAATGAAAACGACGGTGATTTTCGTTACCGTATGATAAACGTTCTGGTTTTGTAGCGTCATTGACAAAGTTGTACACCCTATAATTTTCTGATGACTTAGCTGTGGACGTCTTGCAATATACTACTTACACTCATCTAACGGAACGACCACATGCTCGTGACAAATGGCTTCCTCGCTCGCGCGCCCGTGTACTCGCGAATACACACCCGGCTGCAGAGCGTTGCAGTCCATCGAGAAATTATCACTAATAAATTGCAGACATGGGGAGACTACGTGCAGGCAGTTGCTGCTATTTCCAGTGTTCTCACAACAAGGCACCGTTGAAGCTGCTGACAGCATTACGGATGCCGCAGCGGGACGGCCTGTTGGTTCCGATCGGGCGGGGCGTGAACGGCTGCACCGGCCCGCCCCTGGGCCGTGACGCGTGGACGTTACGGACTGCTGAGAGTGTTCGTCCATCAATTGTGTCATATTAACATCGTTGACGTGTCAATTCTGCGTTTTAAAAGGGCGATATTGTGCATGTTTTTTTGTAAGTTTGGCGGGCGAAGAATGCGCTAGGGATTTAGTTAGTAAGAATGTTCATGTCGTTTCGGTAAGTCACGCTACATGGTTTGACTGGAACTGTGCGAGCTGAAGCACTGCTTTGCGTCCTAGAAATACGAAACGGGTATGATATACAACTGTAGGTAATACGCAGCCAATTCTGGTCGACTTTACATGCCACTGGACGACGCCAAATTGTTATGATTCAAATGATGGCAGTAGTGGCTTCACCGGCAGTTGGTGAACGAGGACTAGTCGATGGGGGTTCAAACTGCCGATCAATACATAGCCCATATTTTACGTCGGCGAAATGCTGGCGGTGAGATTATTGCTCTCTCCAGGAGAGCAATGATCCTGTTACTTTGATCAATGATCCTGTGGACAGTGCCACGAAATTCCCTCAGATGGATAGAGAGAGCACGTTCGTGTTCCCAGCCCAACCCTACGCGCTGGCAAAGCCCTGCTCATAGTGACGACTGATCCTGGGGGGAGATGGCAGGCAAATGTGATAGTCACCGCTTTGTTCGGTGCAATGTCATAGAACTGAATAAAAAATTGAAATGGAGTTAAAGTTGTTGAATCAGCTGCCATATTCGCTGACTTGCCTTGCAGTCAACTCATATCAGCAGAGGTGTTGTGTGCTATTCAGGTTGACGGACTCCAGCCCCCTTCCTCATCTTTACCAAACTGGGTCAGAACCCGGATGATGTCCGATTGTTGACGCCTTTTATGGGTAAGTTGAATCGTTATGCACTGCTCGCCCCCAGCAACTCATCTTACGGAACTACGCCACTGCATAGTAGTAAACATGTCTTGACCCGACGCTTCGTCACGCTGTCCTTAAAAAAACAAGCAACGTGGCAATGGGTCAGCTCAGTGTCCAGTTGGATTCGCGAAACGTTGCGTTAAACATTGCCGAGCGCACGATTGGGACCCAGGTGTGAAATCCTGGTGGCTACCCATTTTGGTGTAAGGGCCTTCCCCGCGTTCATGCCGGCCCAATATTGGGACAAACTTAATCGGACAACCAGAATGACCACTACCAGCACCAAACTATGGAGGCTGATCGCCAACTACATCAGCAAGCTGAAGCGGCCTGGTTACCATCAGGAGGTTGAGTCATCACCAATGGTGCCAGTTAAAATCGGGTATAGTGAACCGACCAGATATCAGGGCTAAAACCTCCGATTGCAGGTAGAAGGGCATGAACAGTTACCAAAATGACAAATCGTGACCAACAGCAACGGCTTGGCGTCCTCCGTAGCTTAATTAATTGGTATCAGCTCCTGGCGATCCCCACCCATCTGTGGCGATATGAGGTTTCACGTCGCTATGTAAGCGCTCTCGGGGGTACGTCCAAGGCAATCAAACAAGGGAGGGGGGGGGGGAGCATCCCAGCGAGAACTTGTCACGCAGGGGTTGTGGTGGGGTGAGGGTGGGCCTCTGCATTCTCGATCTTGGCAGCGTCTATGTGTGCTCGCTATTTGCCCTCTGACTTGAATGGCCTGCGGCAGGTGGCAGCGGCTGTTCAATGTCAGGAAGGTTAAACGGCAGAGGGATCGTGCGTAAAACACGGCACATACAGCTTTTCTATGAAGCTCTGCCGTAGAATTGGAATTTCACAATTGGAAGGTGGAGTCCTAGAGCACACCCAACAATTTGTTACCAAAATAAACATTCTGTAAATCGATTAAATCGATCACCATCACCAAATACACAACATTTATGTCACCGAAGAAATGGCTGTTTCTACAGTCATTAATATAATTTTGTAAGAAGGATGTACACAGAGGTACATGGACACCGCAAACTTACACTGTTCCTCCCCCCCTTACCAAGTGGATTTGCTGCGGTGATGAGCTATCTGAAGATAGAAATCCCTAGTCGAGCCCCACGCACGCACGCACGCACGCACGCACGCACGCGCGTACGCACGCACGCACGCACACACACACACACACACACACACACACACACACACACACACACACACACACACACACACACACACACACGCACGCACACCACAAGAACACTGCATCGAAAACCGCACGCCCCTTTCATGCGCCTGTAAATCCGCACCACGACTTGGTGTGATCACTTGTCATTCCTCAGTCTATTTCTAACCGCCCATCCTCTGTCCTCGTATCATGTTCGCACCTTGACATTTCAGCGAACGGCTCGTGCGCCCGACATCCGTTATTGCGTCCTCTTCGCCCTCGACTCCGACCCCCATCAGCCGACGACACGGGAGCGGTCTTCGGGCGGGGGTGGGACGGGGACGGGTGCCACATAATTAGCGGACCCCTCGTCGCCGCGGCCCGGGTCGTCCGGCCGAAGCTGAGGTCACTCTGCCGTGACCGGTTGAAGGCGAGGTCGACCCCCGCCGACCTCGCCTTCAGCCAGCGAAAGGCGTCGCCGGGGTCCTACAGCAGCGGGACGGCGGCGCGGCACATTGTCGACCGACGCTGGCCCAGCTCGTGTCACCCTCCCGGTCCCAGAGGTGACCCGTCCGCCATCCGACGCCACAGCATGGAGCTCACTGTCCGTCAAATGCTGGTGAGTACGCAGAGTATGTATTTATCATGGCGTGGCTAGTTTGGAGAGGTCAACATGGTGAGCAGGTCAGTCCGCCGGCTGAGAAAGACCTGTGGGATTTGGCTGGCGCTGTCGATCGATTCCAGGCGTTGTCTGAATCGTCGATGTGTCTGATGAAGTGTGAGTTTGTGGTAACCACCATACTTTTTCATTCAAGACTAATCTAGAAATGTAGATACTTCCATCTAGCTCGTGGTGTTACATCGTGAACCGATGTTGACCACGGTGCTCTTTTTCGTTGTCATATGTTGAGGGTGTGCTCAAAGCGGGCAAAGCGAGACCAGGTGTCATAACTCGTCACTTAGTGTCAGGATATATGTAAAAATACCTTTGAGCAGCTTCTGCATACGGAGTGTGGACGGGCTGAGGTAATAGACCATTTGCCAGAGGAGTGTTTGTGTGGTATCACCGTAGAGGCATGCAGTGCCTGGACAGTGCTTAAGTAGACAGACGCACAAAGTAAAGCTAAGGAGGAATACTTTGACACCGGCCATGCTCAATTTCTTTCGCGTGCCGCCAGCCGCTCTGTGGTACCCAATAACGATCGCCTGTAGCAGCTTCATGCGCTGTCGAGAGTATCCTAAGTCGGCGGTTCGGTCTGTGTGCCGGCAGGTGGTGTTGGCCTGGGTCTGTCTCGCAGCGGCGTCCGACGGAACCACTACCAGCGCGGCTGACGGCCAGCACGACCACGCGGCGGCCCGAACGGCACATCGCGCGCCCCTGATAGTGGCCAATGGTAAGTATAAGTCTGCATTCCGGGCGCTCGTTTTGAGAACTGAGGTATGCAAGTACTTCGAGGTGTCTTACACAGATACGCGGTATTATGGTGAAGCAGCCGCTCTTTAGCCGCTCGCTTGCCCCGGACATCTCAGGGTTTATGCCTGGGCTTATGCTGTGAAACGTCTGTTGCCATGGTCCTCAAACACACTATAAAGATATGCTGTAACATGACATGGAGGGCATCCCATCTTGAAAGGTGCGGTAGAATGATGGGTAACATCCTTTATTTAAACACGCGGACACACACACACACACACACACACACACACACACACACACACACACACAACACACACACACACACACACACACACACACACACACACACACACACACACACACACACACCACACACACACACACACACACACACACACACACACACACACACACACACAAGCGGCGCGGGCACGTGCGTACTAAACACATATGGACGCAAACGCAAATATCGCTTCAACAACGCACTGGCAGGCAAACACAAATATTATTTCAACAACGAACTCGCACGCAAACGCTTATGTACTAGACACACGCACGTTCACACGCAGAAACACGCTAATAATTGCTGTCGTGGGGCCGTCCCTAACGTAAGGTCAGTTTCACTGAGGTAGTCATGCGAATATCCTGCTTTGATTTGCTGTCGCAAAGGAGACTTCAACACCAAAAGGAGGTGAAAATGTTTTTTTGGGAGC